CGATCGCTGAAGCCTAACCATGTTGTGAAGCTGAAGTGAGCTGGATAACCATCCTTTGACAAAATAAATAAATTTTTTCTGGGGAATTTAGCTCGCTATATTTACTTGAAGTTATCTGAAGATTATAAAATGCTGAAACTAAATGGCGACGGCTATCACACATGGTGTATCCATTCGCGTGGCGTGCTGGTGCAGAAGAGATGTTGGGAAGCAGTGGAACTCGGATATGAAATTGAAATGAATGAAGTGGAGAGGAAAAAGAATGACGAAGCTCTTACCCTATTATTCCTCATGGTTGAAGATGCATTTCTAGATGATATCGGAGATTGTGTTAGAGCCAGAGATGCCTGGAACTTTTAAAAGAAATGCATACAAAATTTGGTTTGCTTCACGTACTGCAACTTGCGAGAGAATTCTTTAACATAAATATGAAGCCAAATGAGTCTGTCCAATCCTATCTAGCAAGATTAATGGACTTCCAAAGAAAATTAGCTAATGGTGGATATGCATTCACAGATAGAGAAGTGGCCCTAGTGATGCTAATGGGACAGCCTAGAAGTTATGAGTCTCTCATCTTAAGTTTGGGAAAAAAACGAAGCAAATCTGACAACTACGATTGTGAAACAAAGGCTATTTGTATAAGAGAAACGTATAGTTAGAAATGAGAGTTCAGCCAAAGTGTATCATGAAGAACAAGCTCTTCACACTAAAAGTTTTGCATCCAACCAGAAGAAGCCTGCATTTGGAAAACCTGTGAAGAAGTATCCAGCTAAAAGGTCAAATGGAGAAGAAACTAACAGAGGAAGAAATACTAAATGCTTAGTCAATAAGAAATACTAAGTCATAAAATTAAGATCCTAATAAAGTAACAGAAATAAGTCATCTTAAAAGTAATTAGAAATATTAAAAATCATGATTTTTTTCAAGCAATAATATACTTATTACTGTTTGTGTATTTGCTATAAATATGAAATTCCTACTTGAGTTAGTAATTTAAAAATTAATTTATGTAATACTAATCTAATCTCAGAAAATTGCGCCTTTTTAAAATTGTCGAAATATCGTACTGCTTCAGAGTTTTTTTAATGTTAATTATTATTAATTGTAACCAATTTAAAAATCATTTCCAAGAAATTTAAATCAGTTTTGGAAAGCTGTTTAGTAAAAGTATATTTTGCACTTTGAGGATTATGTTATTGCTGAGAATGTTCCCTTTTTTAAATTACACTACTTGAAAACAGCCATTTCGGGAAAGGATCTTTCTGATACTTAACTAAATAATTAAAAGTACATTCTAAATGAATAAATTTACTTGAAAGAATACATAATCACTTATCTGTTGGGTTGCTATTATAACTGGAAGCCAGATTTAAAGTCTTGGAGACAGTAGTAGACAAATAGTGAGTTATTGCTACATTTTAAACAACTCACAAATACAGAAGAAGGTTAAAATAACCTTTTAACAGGCACAACTTGTGCTACAGATGAAACTTCTGCCAGTTAATAATTCCACAAGTTAAAGTAACATAAGACACTTCAAATTAAACGTTGATAAGATTACACATTAAATCTACTAAAAATAAGCTGGCTTACAATTTTTAGGAGCACATATTTAAAATATTGGCTAGTGAGAATTCTAAAGCCAGAATATCATTTTTAAGCAGAGCTAGTGGAAAATACCATCAGCAAGAAATTATTGCTCTCTTGTGTAAAGATTCAAAACACTCCGCTTAACTACATGCACAAGTAATTTGTATTCTGGTGAGGAATACGGAAAGGAGAAGTTAGGACTCAAATCATAATAACTAGTTGCTTAACATAAGCTACTTTTCATGCCTCAGATTATATTGAAGCAGGCAGATATCTTAGAAAGACAAAATTCAGTGCTGGCTACAAAAGCTAAAAATCTTCAACTAATTTCCTCAATCTTTTATGAGATGGAATAAAGGTGCTAAACGTTGTTGGTTGTGAGTTTCTAATGACAACAGAATGGTCACTGATGCTGAAGTGCAGGCAGGAAAACCTTAATTGCACTGTAACTAAATTTAACCCTGGAAAACCTAGAAAATCATTTTGTGCCTTGTTAGTTTCTTAAAAACTGTCTCTGACGGCACAGTAACTTGAAGATGAAGTCCGAGCTTGTTGCCTGTTTTTATAATGTTATGGTGAGAAATGAAATAAAAATGTGAGAGATAAAAAGATAATTTCTCTTTAGCCTTCCAGCACACACGTTTGGCAATTTCACATGAGCACTCATGTGTCGTATTTTTCACGACATCTGTTATTTTACCGTTTTTGGCACGAAAAACAACAGAAATGAGTGAATATTGATAATAAATTTGTTAAGAAATAAAAATATTAATCTTATTGTTGCAAAATACAAATGATATCACATTCATACAGACAAATCAAGAAAGAAAATAATTAATTATATTGCAATAATTATTTATTTAAAGTACATTTCCCAGAAATCGATCAAAATAAAAATCGAAATTTACGAGAAAATCTGGTTTTTCTTGGGGACTATTTTGTGCTCCTCTGTGAGTGGTGCCCAGGGTTGAATAGATACCTTTGTCCTCACTACGCCACTGCAAATAGTTGTATACAAGGGGCTGTCAGTGGATTTATTCCGCCCAATACGATGTTGATATACATGTAAATCTAGCCATTTACAGGCACTAAAACTAAGGTTGCTAGAGCATCATCAGGCTAGATGTACTCAAATATATTCCTAGAGCTGAGAATTAATGGAAGCACTTGTTACTAGCCAATGCTGTGTCAATAAAATGAAATTTAAAAAAATGTGTGCCAGATGGCACACCTCACTATGAGTTTGACATCAACATGCGTTTTAATAGGATTCATCCATGAAGGTTTTGAAATCCTGTTAGTGTGTCTGATTCTGTTACTTAACTTTATCATTCACAGAGAAAAGAATCTTTTTGTTGAACTCAGTCCTCTGCAGTACAATCAAATTCTTATGTGACTACTCTCTCCAGCTTACACTATGAACTGATGTCATCTGTTCAGTTTATTTTCCATTTAAATTTTGTATAAATTGATATGACTTTTATGAATGCCTGTTCTTGTATGTAACACTTGTGCAATCGAATTTTGTCATACAACTCTTCCCAAGGATAACCAATATGTACTGCAATGAAGACCTTTTATGGAAGTAGCTGCTGCTGCCCTAGCTGTAGCCTCATTTTAAAGTTTTTATTTGTTATTTCATATAGTGCTCGTTATATACTTATTAGAGATCGTACAATATAAAAGATGCCACTGTTACTATGTAATCAAGCAGGTATCCTACCCCAAGGATTATATTACTTACATATGAAAAATTCTGTACTACTTATATATGAAAATTTGGTCAAAAATTACATTTTTGTTTTATTCTAAAATGTGTGAGCGACTATGTTTCCTGTATGGCTGTGGAATATGTTGTTAATGTGCAATTCAGAAGCATAATGATTGGCTTGCAACTCAGCTTTCTCAATTTCAGTGTATGTAATAATAATTTAAGGGACAGAATATTAGTGTGACATCTTTTAAAATCTGGAATTGCTTTCATACTGAGTTATCCTCAGTAGATAGTTTCCAAATAACTGGCCCAGCCGTTTGTGCCTTTTTATATGTTTGAATCCTGACTTTGTGATTAAGTTGGTTTAGCAATGCCTTAATCTTTGCCTAGTTTTTCTGTCTGCCTTTTTGGATTTGATTAAATGGCAACATGGAGCATTCATGCATTTTCTGCAGTCTTGTACAGCCACACTATTTGTCTTTAAAGCTTCTTTCATTTCAGTGGTGAAGTTGTTATAATATCTGTTATGTATTGTGGATATTGTAGTATAAGACGTGTTGCTAAGAGCTTTGGTATAACCTAACTGTTTCACAATGAAGGCTCTTTTGTGAATTGCATTATTGCATGGTACACCTATATCAATAGCCACATGGTTGTGGTCTGAAGAATGTTCATTCCTACTTTCAGTATGCTGGACATTGACTCTCTTAAGATGAAAGAAGTCAGAAACGGAAACTAGAACCATCCCCATAACATGCTGGAATTTGTGTGAAGGTGCAGTTGTAAATCAGGCCAAATCAGTAAAACGAAGAATTACATTTCCAAGGTACATACTATTACTGCAGTTTTGCTTATGGTAGTATGCATTAAAATCGTTATTTTGCAATTTGAAGAGTTTATTGTTGAGTCAGGATAGTGTTTCAAGATCTGATACAATGTTCTCTTGTGATCTCTTTGTAGATGGAATATAGGTGGAAATGCTAGTGACTGGTCAAGACGTGTGGGATGATAGTGATAGCTGAACCTTCATTCACCAAAAACTGTGGTGATGTTATCTTGTAATGAGAAATGGAACTCTTAAACTAAAACAATTTGCTCTCCGTCGCGATATTTTATACCACTGTGGTGCAAAACTTCAAATGCTGCATGTGGTATTTATATTAAGTTTATGTTCCTGTATGAGAATGATATCAGGGTTCCAATCATTTATGAATTTCCTCAATTCAGAGATTTTATGAAAGAGATTATGTGCATACTATGTTACAAATCTTACGGCTTTTCTGCCTTAATTAGCTTTAGTTTGCTAACCCAATAATTTTCTCTAATGCGAGGTGAAGTACGTTAGTCTTTTGACTGAATCTTCAGGATTGCATTTTTTTAAAACAAAACATTTGCTTTTAAAATTTGTTTGGCCTACCCGAAGTTAACCAATACTTCAAACAGTGAACTGTTATTTACTGCATTATAATTTTCAGTGCTTAATACCTTGCTTTCCATGAGCTTCAAGATCACTATTAGTCAGCCAAGTTATTAACATCCTCTTACACACACACACATATATATATATTTCTGAGCTGAATAACTTTTATTCTGTACTTCATTAATGCTTTTCTGTTTTATTAAATTAGACTTATATTCGCGATATTTCATTATTTTATGTTTTTTATTTAAACTTCTATATAATTTGCCTTTATAGGACACGAGGACAAACGTGAATGTTGGCAACTCAGGTAAGAAATTTTGAATCTGGTTGTTCATTATAAAATTCTCATCGTTTAATTTTTTAGAAAATTGTCATATTTTAAGGTATTATTAAAATCTAATTGATCTAACTTTAATAAAAAAATATTAAATTGAATTTTGCATTTCTCACAAACTTTGTGCAAATGAAATTAGAGTATTATTGGATACATTCATGTAGAACTGCTCAAAAAGCCAAATCTTTACAACAATAAAAATGAGATATGTATTTCATGCTAATGAAATGAACTTCTTGTATAGATAATAGTGTCTTAATTTTGGTGGTTTAGGCTACTAGTTATAAACATTTTATCAGTACCCTCGAGAATGTATCAAAGAGAGCTTCCATTTCAAGTGCTCACTCAAGTGCTACTGGCATTGAATCATTCTCATGATTTAGATTTAAAATGTTCCTTTTAAACATGTTTCTATGCATAAAATGGGAAAACTATATTTCATTGAATATGCATTTTATTGAAGATGAGAAGGAGCTAAATAAAAGTTTAAAAAATATTTTCTACCAGTTTTCAAGATAAATAGTAGTTAACATTCTACATTTTTGTGCTATGAATCATGAGGCTTTTATATTTAACATGAATTCCTTTTTCATATAAAATATAAAGGCATATTGTATACTTAAATATTCATATTTCAGCTGCATAAACACATGTATCAAGCGAAAATTCATTTTACTCTTCAGAATATACGAGGGATTTGATTTTTTCTTGTAAAATTAGAAAGCTATTTTCTGTGATTAGGACAATCATATTTTTCTCAAATAATATAAATAATATGTAGTAGGTTGACTGACATTAAGTATCAAATTATATATATTCTATTAATATAAGCATTTCTGCCTGCATTATCCTGAAGAAAAATGTGTTTATGGCTTGAGTATATCCATCTGATTTGCCTAGTTTCACTGCATTTGTTTTATGTGACCCCGAAAATTTTTAAAACATTTAATACTATTTTTTTTCTGTGTGAGCATAATTTATGACCTAAAATCACAGTTATATCACCTGATTTTGATTTGCCAATATAAATTGTGTATTTTAAATTTAGTATTATTGATCCTGTAATTAATAGGTTTTTTACAGCAGTATCTGTTTAATTTGTGATGCATTTGGCATCAGCTGTTTTTGATAATATTAACTGAAGTATATCTCCATAAACAAATATCGGTGCAATTTAATCAGTTTAATAAAAAATATTCAAGAAATTTAAAAAATGTATGCTTTTACAGGATTTTAATTCAAAAGATTTATTGCCTACACTTGTTTTTATTTCCAAACTGCTCATATCCATAGTGTTTGTTAAAATGTGTATTAAAATTACTTGATTGATGTTGTCCTCCAAATCACAATAAGCGAGGTACTGCCCTTGTTTCAGCATTAGTAGGAAATTTCTCATCAGTTTCATCATCTCTTATTGTGCTAGATCTGTGTGAGAAACCAATTCCCTATTGTCATTCGTGCATCATCTTGAATATTGCCATGAATATCCACTAAAGTTTCAAGTTTACAACAATTTACATTACTTAGAGATGCTGCATTCACTTCAACCTCCTTTGTTTTGTAATTTATTTAAAGGCTGTTGTATTTTAAACAGCTCTCCGTTGCTTTTTCTGAGACATGATCCCATGACATATTCAGCAAAGGCGGTGACTAGTTTTCCTAGCTAATGCTTTGTAACTTATATCTGTGTTTTCCATGTTATGAAGAATTTGACTTATTTCACAGTAGTATGAATTCCTAGCTCTAAAAATCGCTTGATTGCAGGATTGAATCATCAACATGATATTTGCTGTAAGGAATGGGGCTTCAGAGTGCTTTAGAGCAGTGTTTCTCAACTGCCGGTCCGCAGTCTGCAAGAAATATTTGCTGGTCCGCGAAATATCCAGCTATCTGTCCCAAAGTGTCATCAGCCGACAACCGATATTACAACAGCACCTACATTACAATACTGTTGTGTGCGTACGGGTTCGTTATGAAATGAATGCACAAGTCCGATGAAAAATGAACAAAAATTTATTATTATCACAACAGAAATGCTTAAAATTTCTCAAATTATCATGCAGTATCACAATATCTCACAGTAGTTATCTTTTAACTACTTAAATGTACAATAGAACGTAATTCAAAACAGCTAAAGAACGCTAATCCGCGAATTCGCTATATTCAACAACGGCAGTTTTCTAAACAACAACAAACTAAGTAACTACTACAAACTGAGATGTTTTCCTCCTTTTATAAGATTTTAAAATCACGCGCTAGAATTTTCCAGTACTTTCTCGAAATCAAAAAGAGATATTTATTTTTTAACGCACGCGCTCTTGTATTTTTAATTTTTCCGGCTTAGCTTTCTTTTAATATTCGTCACGCGCTGCACTGCGCAAGAAATAAAACCAATTAATTTATAATTGAACTAATATTAGCTTTTTAAATACCAAATTCGTAACACTGCCCCCTTCCCAAGGACTGCACGTCCCGGGCAGTACAATCCCTGGACAGAAAGCTAAATTTACAACTGTGGCATAAATGCATTAATAAGCATTACATTACAATAATAAACAACATGAACAATAAATGCAATACATAAAACAAATCAAATGCTATCAAATTCAAATCAAATACTATCAAATTCAAATCAAATACTAAATGCAAATCAAATACTAAATACAAATCAAATCAAAGACACATTTAAAAACAAAATGGACCATGGTCTTATACTATTTACAATTATTTACATTATGTACTATGGCCATAGTAATAAGCTAACCTGTCGTAAGAATTCGAAGACTCACGGATCCGAACCACGACGTCATTCGTGTTCAGCACTGTATATGGACCATCCGAAGGTGACTGTAATTTAGGACTCAGTCCTTTTCGTTGAATCGGGTTCCACAACCACACCTTGTCTCCTTTGTTGGATCTCTGTCCAGTAGCTCTTGTGTTGCATCTGGTCTTCATTTTCTCCGTCGCCAAGTTGACTCGCTTTCGTGCAGAACGGTGCATCATTTCAAACCGGATGCATCATTTCAAATCGCCTGAGGAACACATCCAAGATGTCCATCTTGGATGTGTTCCTCAGGCGATGAAGGCGCATCCTGTAGGGCGACTAAACAGGCGGTCACAAGGCAGACGAAGGTCTCGACCAGAAGAGCATCTGGGGATGGAGAATAGCTGGTAGTCTTGAGTTTCTTTTCGACCCTGGTATGATTTCGGCAGCTTCCCGAGCTCGAGTCTTTCGGACATGAGGCGTCGGACATTTCCAGGCGAGGATCCCTTTTGAGGATGGATAGTCATGCCATCAGATGCTGAAAGCAGCTTATTGTTTTTGAAATCTAAGGAAAAATTGTATTTCCTTAAAAAGTCCAATCCGAGTATGCATGGATCTGTAATATCCGCCACATATGCCGTGTGATGGTAGGCGGCACTTCCAAACGTGATGTTTTATTTAACTTCCCAGTTATGTCGATCTTGTCACCAGACGCAGTCTGAAGGGTAACACAGGATGGCGTCCAAATAAGTTTATCTTTAAACTGTTCAGCTAAATCTTTCCTAATGATGGTAACATTAGCTCCTGTGTCAATGATCATACTGCAAGGAACTCCATCGATATTCCCATTGATGGACAGTCCGTTATTGTTGCCACTCACTGTATAAATTTTAAGAGCTTTAAAACAAGGTTTCTCACTATCTGGCAACCTCCGTTCCTCAATATGGTCACTAATTTGTTTACTGCGTTGTTGCTGGGAAATGGTCTTATTTTCCGTACTTCGGGGTGTTCTGCAGTTTCTTCGTATGTGGCCTTCAACTCCGCAGTTCCAGCACTTTAGAATTAGTTTCTTTTCACTTCTGTTCCGTCTCAAGCCACTGACTTGTCTGGTAAAATCATCTGCTTTATATTCCGTACCCTGGATGTTCTGCAATTCCGTCTTAGGTGACCTTCACTACCACATCTCCAACACCTTAGAGCCACTTTCTTCTCGCTCCTACTCCGTATCAAATCTTCGACTTGTCTGGCTAAATCATCTAAACGAGCCATCAGTTGATCCACTGGCTCATGGACTCGCACAGCTCTAACTGGTGTAGCGATCTCTACTAGTTGCTTGCTGGGCTGCCTCGAACTTCATGGCGTACAACAGAGCGCTTTTTACATCCTTTACATCTGCCATTCGCAGTGCTTTCTGTATTTCAGGGTCCCGGATGCCATCGATGAAATATTGCAGCGACAGAATTTCCCTCGTTTCTCTCGGGCACTCCGTAAATGCGAGGTGGGACAGCCTTTCAACATCCGTGGCGAGTTCCTGGAGTGATTCGGTGGGCTTCTGTTGACGGGATTTTAATTGAAGCCTGCTGTAGTCCTTTAAACACTTCTCCCCAAAGCGCAACTCCAAGGCGCCGGACAGAGCTTCGAAATCTAACCTTTTGTTTTCGGGAAGAGTCTGAAGGATATCCGCTGCGTCGGCTCTTAGAGAAGCGGCGAGATGACAGGCCTTAGCTTGGGAATCCCATCCATTCGCATCCGCAACGATAGAAAATTGTGTCCTATACACCTGCCAGGAGGTCTTCCCATCATATGTAGATAGTTTCAGAACGGAACGAGCAGGCATCGATAAAAATTTGAAACCTTCAGAATTGTTTCCTACCGTCGCTATGCACTTCTTTAGGCTGTCAACTTCTTTGGCGACGGCAGCAGAAACCCTATCATCAATTTGTTGTTCGACGGCAGAAACTCTCTCTTCTATATGTTCTTTTACAGAAGAAATTCTTTCTTCTACTTGTTCTTTTACCGAAGAAACTCTTTCTTCTATTTGTCCAACTTTAGTTTCAACCGCGTCTATTCTGCCTTCCATAGCCTCAAATTTATTTTCTATTACGCAGGTAATTTCTCTTTTCATTTCGTTCTGACCTGCTTTCATCTCATTTTTTAAGAGATTTCATTCATCTCTTCCTTAACGGATTCCTGGCCCAATTTCATTTCTCCTTTAACGGATTCCTGGCCCAACTTCATTTGTTCCTGTGCCGCTTTCATTTCTTTCTTCCTTGAGGGATTCCTGGCCCAATTTCATTTCTTCTTTAAATGAGGCAAAGGCTGATATTAAATGCCTTAATTGCTCTCTTCCATCGCTCTTGTTATTGGCATTCAAATCCCACTTCTGACACCAAAAATTGTTGTGTGCGTACGGGTTCGTTATGAAATAAATGCACAAGTCCGATGAAAAATGAACAAAAATTTATTATTATCACAACAGAAATGCTTAAAAATTTCTCAAATTATCATGCAGTATCACAATATCTCACAGTAGTTATCTTTTAACTACTTAAATGTACAATAGAACGTAATTCAAAACAGCTAAAGAACGCTAATCCGCGAATTCGCTATAATCAACAACGGCAGTTTTCTAAACAACAACAAACTAAGTAACTACTACAAACTGAGATGTTTTCCTCCTTTTATAAGATTTTAAAATCACGCGCTAGAATTTTCCAGTTCTTTCTCGAAATCAAAAAGAGATATTTATTTATTTAACGCACGCGCTCTTGTATTTTTAATTTTTCCGGCTTAGCTTTCTTTTAATATTCGTCACGCGCTGCACTGCACGAGAAATAAAACCAATTAATTTATAATTGAACTAATATTAGCTTTTTAAATACCAAATTCGTAACAATACCTATAGTTTACTAGTTTAGAAACTAATATGATTGATGATGGAAAATATAACAAACTGGCAACTATGTACCTAATTGCTTTTCATAAATTGCCGTGCTGTACAATTAGTACACCAGTTAGTGTGTCCCTGTCTGCCGTGAGTATCACTGATTACTTGAACGCTGAATATCTATAGTAGTGTTTAAGGCGTCTTAAGTAATGTTTAGCTTTTTATCTTGCTTACATTCTTCTGCACACTTGGACAACTGAAAACTATACATTAGCGTAAGTTTTTAATAACCACTGAATTTAATACTTTGCTATATAACTACTATTTCTTTAACTTTAGGTAGATTAAAAATCAATAACCAGGATGAGTAAGAAGGAAACGAAAGGTACATTACTAAATTCCATGCAAAGAAAGGATTCTCCAAAACCAAGTACGTCATCCGCCCCTTCGAATACAGATGAAGGTGAATATAGTCCACAATCTGCCAAAAAAAAAAAAAAAGCTTTGTAAGGCACTATATCGCAGACTATTTGAAATATGGTTTTGTCCTTTGGCCACAATCAGAAAAAATTGTCCAAAACCTGAATGTGTTGTTTGTAGAGATGTTCTTTCCAACGAAAGCATTATTATGAATTCCGATTATTTCAGTTGTTGCCACTTGAGGATGAGAAGAGGTTGGGAAGTGGCGCTTCGGTATGGTAGATTAAGGGATCCTCATTCGCTTGTCCAGGGATCGTCACTGATCCGTTTTTATATGCAAGGGATTTTGTGATTATTTTTTTGTAATATTGTGTGATTTTTCTCAAAGGTTTATTTACCTACATATATGATAATTATACTGATATGTAATAATTACAATATTTACTAATCTTTATATTTAAATATTAGTATAGGCAAATGGTAATAAGAATATTACATTTAACTTATGTAGTAATTCTTGAATACCTTGTGGCCCACCAGTGGCCGAGCAGTAAAGTCGCTGAACACTGGTAGTTTGGTCCGAGGTTCGAATCCCATGAACGGGCTGGCTGCATGGGCGTTTTTGTGGTTTTCCCTATGTGTAACGTGTATACGAGTCAGTTTAGAAAGTCCTCCACAAAGGCATCCCTCCCCGTAGGCAGATAGCCCTAGTGTGCTTTACCATAATTAAATACACCACACATCACACCTTGAATACCTTGTAAAGTTTTTTGTGCGGAGGGAGTGGGGGAGGGAACCACCGGTCTGTGAAATTTTTTCGTAAGTTTTATCGGTCCACAGACCAAAAAGTTTGAGAAACACTGCTTTAGAGCATCTTGAAGGTGTGTTCCTAATTGCAAACAATCTTATACTCAGTATGCATCTGTCAGTCTAAATGCACCATGAAAATATCAGTCAGAAGGAAGACATCATTCTTCAGTTCGTTGTCTCGTTTCAAAATTCTTTCATTAAAAACTGCTGATGATCCACCCCTTTGTATAACAGTTTTGCAATTGTTTCATAATTCAATAAAAAATTCTTTTGTAACATCTTTATTGCATTTAATGGTGTTCTGATTGTAATTAATGAGGAATTGCCTAACTTTTTTAATCCAAACGAGCATATATTCAATGATGATCATGTTAAAGTCCCAATTAGTATGTATTGTTATATACACTTAATAATGTTTATCTTTCTATTGATGTAGTTTTGAGAAGTATTTGCATGTCAGTGTTAGAAGAGCATGTTTCTTCTATTTTTGCCTCATATATTTAAAAAATTCTTTTACAGATTTAAGCACATTAGCTAATGTAGTGACTTCATTAGTTGCTATGAAGCAAGGCCCTGGTGATCAGAGTCACTGCGATATTTCACTAGTCACTGTTAATGGGGATTCCCATAACAGATTGCTATCTAAGGACAGCAGCAATGTTATATCCAAAGCATTTGACACTATGGTTAAGGTAAAATATTTCCTTATTTATTGCATAGTTATTACCTAGTGAATCACATTAATCTTGGAATTATTCATTTGATATACACTGAAGAGCCAAAACAATCTACTTAATAATGCAATGTGCAACCTTTGGCATGCAAAACAGCTCCATCTCACCTTGGCATGGATGTCTTAAGTTCTTCTTCGATGACTGGAGACAGGTTGTACCAAATATCTAAGCAGTAGTCACACAAAGTCGAGGTATTCCAACATGGTGGTGTTTGAGCTCTGAGCTGCCTCTCCATGACATCTCAAATACACTGTATTAGGCTAAGATAAGATATGACAAGTTAGGTGGCCAGGCATTTATTGGAATTCATCCTTATGCTCCTTGAACAACACTGTTCAAGCCTTGTGACATGGGGCATTATCTTGCTGGAAGATTCCATTTCCATTTGGGAAGTCAGGCACTATGTAAGGGTGTAACTGATCCGCAATTATATTCAGTTAGTCCACAGCTTTTTATGGTTTGTTCTACCACAACTAAGGGTCCCAGAGCTACCCATGAAAACATCTCCCAAAGCATAATGCTGCTACCACAAGTCTGTGTGTGACTTGCTGTTTCGGGGGAAGAAATTGCTTGCCTGGAAGACAGCATACCCTGACATGACCATCGACAGGGTGAATGAGAAATAGTGATCCATCCGACCAGGCAACTGTTTTCCACTTATATCCATGGCCCAGTCTCAATGTTCGTGGTCCCACTGTAGCCATAGTTGACAATGACGCTTGGTCAGTCTGTTTCACGGCAGATTGTGAACAACCTACCAGTCGTGCAGTTTCAGAGATACTCGTTTCAGAGATACTCGTTCCAGAGTCTTTGGGCTGTTACAATCTGCCCTCTATCAAATTCACTTAGATCAGCAGCCTTTCCCATCACTCACAAAAGTAAATGCAAGAATGATTCCTTATCTTCTCCAGCAGCAGTTAAATACCATCTGCAATTAATCACTTGCCCTCTATGTCATTGAAAAATGTGGGGATAGTCTCATAATGTTTGGCTCATCAGTGCATAGTGATACAATAGTTTTTCAGATTAATGTAAAAAAGAAGATTATGTGCATGTCTAGTGTACAAATGAAAAAAAAATCAACATACAGATTAGCACAATTAAATGTGAATATGCAGGTTAATTATTTCATATTTATAAAATTCGCCATGAACGCGGTGTTATGTATTGAGAACAAACCCACACATGTTTGAAATTGATTCTAAGTTAATATATCTGGTATATTAAACAAAACAGCATTAAAACTTCATCAAAGCATTCCAGTGTTAAACTAAAGTCATAACGTTCAATTTTTGAACGCCGAAATTATTGATGATACTAACACACTCCTTAGTTTAGATTTCTTCAAAGCTTCTGATATTTTCCTTTGCAATTTTATCAGTGGCATAGTATCTATTCTATTACTGTTGGAGATACAGAAAAACTTGTTCCAGCCATATGTCTATCCTTCTGACCAGGCGTTCTTAATTTTTATTATTCAGCAGCTACAACTTCTACAACATGTTGTAACAGTAATAACGAGGCTTTTATAAAACTGAATTGATTTTCTGGTAAAACTAGAGTTGGAGAAAAATGTTATATTTATTTGCGCTTATTTTTACACTGAATTTCCTTATTTTCCTCCCATTTATGCAACATAAATTAATATCCCTTAATAATCATATCATGTTAATGAAATATTGAAATATCTTTAAAAACCATGCAGATAAATTGCTAGAAAATTTAATGATGTACTCAAAATGTTATAATATGCTAGAACAGTTGGGATTTATTAATAATTATTGCTATTTATTAATAACAATAACTATTGTTATTATTATTTGCTATCACTGACTTCTCATTGTTTAGAAGTGTACATTTATTTTTTATATTTTATTTGTTTTTGTAAGTGAAATATTTTGATGAATGTAGTTTTCATTTGTTTGATTTGGTAATAAATTTCATTATTCATTTACATTATAAAAAGTTTTCATTCTATCAGTGTCATAAAAGGAATTCTGTATTAGCTTCAATTTAAAAATTAAAAATTAATGTTACATATATATAATTTGTTTCCTTTGCTGGGCAAGGCTGACGCTGCCTTTCATCCCTTGAGTGGGTCGATAAAATGAGTACCAAGTGTGCTTGGGGACTAAACAATGGGTGTCCTACAACAAGCTGACCCCTTGTTCAGGGCATATGTTCCCGCACCCCGGGGCCCATGGTCAAGAAAGCAGATTTTGGGGCTCTGCAGGCCTTGGTTCAGTAGGGCTGTTGTTCCACTAGTGTAGTATATATCATTTGTACGGTTAACTGTTACATACACATTACTTGTGGAAACAAATGTTGCATGTATGTCACTTCTTACACACTTATTTGTTCCTGAATTTCTAATGTATGCTTACTTAAACTCTGAATAAGTTTTCTGTTCTGAGTCTAAAGGAGAGTGTGCACCACAATATTTGTTGATTAATGGAAATCTTACTGTGTAAATTACTTAACATTCATTTTTCATAACTTTTATTTCAATATTATAGGTAGCTGGTGGATGTTCTGACCAGTTAGCTTTACATTTAGAACCTGAAAATGATTCATTGTTTGAATTTGATGGTAAGTTTTAAAGTTCCTTTTTGAATTTTAGTATGTTTAAATTACTTATATTCCAACATTGTAATATTTAACTTTAGTATATTCTATATTTGTTTTGCTCATTTATATTTCTCTTTCACATTTCTTAAATGATCACTTTTAGAATTTTTTTCCCTTAATGCACTTTTTGGAAATAAATAGCTTAGAATGTGCTTTGTTCCCCCTTGAACTAATTAAAATGGATTGCATTAGGTTGCATTGCTGTTTTTCTGCACAGACAAATGCTTAAAACAGTTTAAGACTTCATGATTATTGCTGAGGAACACCGAAAGAAATTAATACTGTAAAAAAAATTAATTCTGTGAAACTTAAATGAAACTTAAAGAAAATAAATCATTGATACCTTTATAATAGAATTATTGCATGCTAGCAGAATCCCTGGCACATTTATTTTCGCAGTTGCTTTGAAGTCTTCCTGAATTTAAATAAAAATGTGTTTCTATAAGTTGTGAAATAACTAGAGTTTTAATATTAAACTTACTATTCAGTGAAATAACCGGAGCTTTAATATTGAACTTACTATTCAGATATGTGAATGAAATCAAATATTATCCATCCTGAAAGACATCAGCCCCTTGTTTATCACATTTTTTTTTTTTTTTTTTTACTTAACAGATTTATTAATTGAATCTCTCTTTATTTTACATTTAGTAAATTTTTCTTACAGCTTCAGATATATGTGATAACTCACTTTCATTTATATAATTTTGAAAAAAGTTTGACATAAAAAATGCCGCTGTAAAGATTTCAATGTGAGCCATTAAGGAATATGAAAGTTGTTATGGACTTAACTTTTTACACTATGCAACTGATTTTGTGTCGAATAAAGGTAGTTACAGCTGTTGACAGAATTTTCCTTATTAAAGTGGAATTAGACTTTTGTAAACTAGGTTCAGCAAATACACAGGAGTTATTGAAATCACAAGTTCAAGAGTTGAAAGTATTGATACCATTAACATTAGAAAAATAATTGTTTAGTTACAAATTTACTCTAAGAGAAAGTACTCCAAAATGTGAACTGAATTTCAAACATTTTTAGGTAGTGGTTCATAATGCTGAATAACTGAAGCATGGAATGCATACATCTCAGCACAGATCTTGAAACAGAACTGTGCAGATATGTCAAATGAATTGATAATGTGTTGATCTAATTAAGGGCCACTCCCACTAGGGTTTATCTGAGCTAACACAGTTCTATGTGTTGACTAACTCTGCTTTGTCTGCAGATCAGATTTTTCAACTTAAGTGCCCTATGGGAAAAAACTGGTTTTGGAGATGGGTCGGCTATGCCAGTTGTCTTCATTAGCTCAGATAAAACCCAGTGGGAACAGCCCTTTACAGAGAAACATATATATCCTAAATGCTTTGGATATATTTCATCAAAAAAATAAATAAAATCTAAATTTTGTTTTTATGATAGGTAATTTAGAAGCAGAAGATGTGAAAAATAAGCACAACCTTCACCGGGATTCGAACCACGGACCTCTGGAATACGCGCCCAGCGTGCTGACCACTACACTGCGAAGGCATGCTAAGATGGGAGAAATGCATTATATACTCTCCCTTTTAAAGGGCGACTGAGGTTTAGGGGACCCGATCACCAAATTCTGGGTGTGGAGAATCATCATTCACCAACCGTTTAGTTCAGGCACCACTGTAGAGACATTAGGTAATTTAGAAGCAGAAGATGTAAAAAGTGAGCAGCGCCTATGCTGGGACTAGAACCGTGGACGATTGGAATATGTACCCAGCGTGCTGACCACTGCACTTCGAAGGCGGGAGAAATAGCTTATAGTATAATAAAATGTACGTCTATACAAATACAGTCAAAAGTCCTTAATCTGGACCTCAAAGCTACAAACTTTCTGCACATGCGTTTATGCATGCGCATAATACGCATGTGCATATGCATTTACACATGTGCATAATACATTTACGCATGCACGTTTAATGTATAACGGACGGTATAAGCTAAGCTAAAATGATCTAATTATCTATTTCAGTTAATGTTGCAGATTGCGTTGTTCATTAATCTTCTAATTGTACCTGGCTTATTATTTTTTGCAGACTGTAAGAGCAGTTTTATGAAAAGTAAGCTTGAACTTTCGCTTATGTCAAAAAGAGTTTCCTATTCTGGAGCTGTCAAAGGATCTACAAAGCGAAAGCATGTTGCGATGTCCATCAAACAAAAAGTGGAATTACTGCAAAACATGGATAAAGGCATATCCTTTGTTTCTCTAACCATTCCGAAATCTGTTTATCAATTTCACGCTGCTCTGCGGTGGGAGGGGGACGCCATGGCGTGCAATGAACTGGAAGTTGATCTGTCAGCACTATCCTTATCTTCAGGGCAGATGTTTTTACTTTATTCGGCTTATAATTCCTTACTAATTGTAGTATTTCATCTCGATGTACTCTCGATGTACTTTGATATGATTTAAATCAAATTCCTCATCATTATAAATATCACGAATACACATCAAATAGTTTTCTGGTTGCAATTTTCTATTTTTGACTATGCATAATGTATGCTTTATTCATTAATTGGTACTGCTCTTCAGTGGTGACATTATAATCGTTATACTCGTATCTCGGTAGCATTAAAATACAGGTTACAAATTTACTTAATTTTTTTTTTTTTTTTTCATTTTTATTTGCCAATCTGGAAAACTGAAACTAGGCCATATTTAATGCTTCTGGCCATATCTAATGCTTCTATGTTAATAATCCGAATTGAGTAATCACTGTAACAGTCTTGCTTTTTGTGTTAATTGTTATTTGGTGGGGTTTAAAAGGGGATTTTGTAGAGTCTTAAGAATATTAAATGTTTCTTAAAATTTGGCATTTGATTCTTTATTTTGGCCATTTCAGCATATGAAAATTTCAAATATTTACTCAGCTTTTAAAATAAGAGGAACCTGTATTTAAATTAATTTATTTTGATATGTTATTGTTCTTTATCTTAAATTTTCATTTAATTAAATTCTCAAATTACGTAAGTGTACTGTGTTAGTAATATAATAAATATTTTTCTGATTCCAACTAATATTCCACAGAAATTAAAACCAAATCTACCTTTTTTTTTTATAGGTCCATTACTTTTAGAGTGTCATGTAGCTTTTCATCTGACAACTCCAAATCCGGGTTCGTCTTACCTCAACGTCCACTATATATGTGAAAGTGGTTCTAGGCTTTTATTTCTTTCAGTGCATTGGGCTAGATCCATACCTGCATTCCAGTTACTTCAGTAAGTTCTTAGATGTTTATCTCAAGTACTTATACAAAAAAACATGTATGCTGTTGACTTAATCCCTTAAAAATTAAATTTATAAAATTTTATCTGCGATTTAGTTGCGTTTTTTTTTTTACTGTAGTTGTATAGATGTAACTGACGTGAACTTTTCCCTTCTAATTTCTTCTATTTCTGCGGTTTTAGATAAATTCTTCTAATCCTTTATTTTGATGGCTTAGATTTTTAGGAAATTCGTCATAGGTAAAAAGAAAAGACCAAACATTTATTGTTATTATTATCTTCTGATCAGATGCATTTTTTATCAATTTAGTTGCAATGTAAATTGACATATTTCTACATCTCCAATTTTAATTAAGCTAGCAGTAGACTTAATATCTCTATATTTATTGTAGACCAGAAGTTCAAGCTGCTTTGGTTAGAAGTTGCTGGAGCGAGTTGTTTACTTTGGGTCTTGCACAGTGCTCTCAAGTTATGTCTGTGAAAACTATTTTTACTGCGATAATAAGTCACTTACAGTCAAGTGTGCAGCAAGGTAAATTCATTTATTTTATCTAATGGGAGCAATATTTTGTTAACTGAACATATTTATAATACATACTTATATATCAATTTATTTTTCGTTTTTATATTTTATTTTATTTATTTTTTCATTTTTGGTGTAAAATACAATGTGTCATCTGTTTCCAGTATAAACACTCTTAATTCATATGTGTTGATAATGACTTTGAAGAAAGCACTTACAAAAATACAACAGAAATTACTAAAATTTATATCAATCTGTAATATTTGCTTTGTAGTATGTGGCTACATCAGTCACATCCTTTTATTTTTCTTTAGATCGTTTATCAGCCTCTCGTGTAAAACAAGTAACTGATCACATATGCAAGCTTCAAGATTTTGTAAATTCCATGTTAAGATTACAGATTGATGAGCATGAATATGCTTATTTAAAAGCTATCGTTCTTTTCAGCCCAGGTAAGCTCATTCAATTAGTTGCTCAAAAAATAAATAAAATATGAATGGAATTTAGTGTTAAGGATATGACATTTTGTTTATAAGCATGAGTAATATAGCTATATATTAATTTCCTTTGCTGATATTTGAGTTACATTTGCTGCAGCAAATATAACTTGGATATTAGCAAGGGAATTATGCTTGCTGCATTTCAACTCATGTTAATGAATAGAAATCATTATTGAAGTATACATTGAATTTTGATGATTGGAAGATATATTATATACATGTATGTGTTACTATTTTTAAACTGCTAGATCCTTATGAATTTTTATTAACTAAATTTCTGCTTACTAATACTTAATTATGTCAGCTGATTACAAGATATGCAGATAATTATATTAAAATGTATATGTTTTAGATCACCCATCTTTGCCCAGTGCAAGGCAAGTAGAAAAGTTCCAAGAAAAAGGATACCAAGAACTTCGATCTTATATTGGCCAAACATTTCCTGAAAATAATGACAGATTTCCGAAATTGCTTTTGAGGTACTTTTTGCATGAAATTTGAATATTAGTTTCTTATTTGTTTTCATGATGGAGTTATTTTTTTATTCTCCTAAATTATTTGTATACTGTATGTGTAACTATGTGTGGAAGGGAGAATCAAGCAGCAGAGTACTAAAGCAAGCTTGCCAGCAGAGTACTAAAATGGCAAAATATATTGAATGTAAAATTAGTTTCCACTGAGTATATATATATATGTAATAATTTTGAAGCATAGCCATGATGGCATAGTGGCAACCTGGGAAGACGAACAGATGACACTGATACAAAAATTAATTAGACGACTTCCCAATCTTTATTTCCACGCATAATAAAATCATCTTGGTAGATATTTATCCAATCATAATGAAATACGACACATTTCTATGATTCCATCATAATGAAATATGATAAATTTCTATGTACGTTGCCTTTTAAAAGAAATGACATAAGCATGTAAGCAAGGTAAAGCAATGCAGTGTTGACAGAGCAGCAGTTAGGGAAAGAAAGAATGATGTAGTTCAGCGGTTCTCAACCTTTTGATCAATGCTTACCATCTAAACAAATATTGAAAAACTTTTATCACCACTACATTTTACAATGATTATTTTGCGAATTCTCAATAGAAATACAGTCAAAAGTCTTTAATCCGGACCTCAAAGCTACAAACTTTCCGAGCATGCGTAAACGCATTATGCGTTTACGAATGTGCATAATACGTTTACGCATGTGCGTTTAATGTATAACGGATGGTATAAGCTAAGTTAAAATTATCTAATTATCTATTTCAGTTAATGTTGCAGATTGCATTGTTTCTTAATCTTCTAATTGGATCCGGCTTATTATTTTTTGCAGACTGTTAGAACAATTTTATAAAAGTAAGCTTGAACTTTCGATTATGTCATAAAGAATTTCCGATTCTGGAGCTGCCAAAGGATCTACAAAAAAAGCATGTTTCGATGTCCATCAAACAAAAAGTGGAATTGCTGCAAAAAAATGGATAAAGGCATATCCTTTGTTTCTCTAACCATCCAATCTGTTTAGCATGCTTGCGGGGGGGGGGGGTACGGCGCGGCGCGCAGTGAACTGGAAGTTGATCTGTCAGCACTATCCTTATCTTCAGGGCAGATGTTTTTATTTTATTCGGCTTATAATTCCTTACTAAATGTACAGGGGCGTAGCTAGAGGGAGGCAAGGGGGGAATCTGTCCACGGGCGCAGCAACCAAGGGGCGCCAAATTGCTATTAAGAAATTTTAGAATTAAGTGTTTTCCATCTTTGGCAAGCAGAAGGGGCGCGAAATCTTCAGTTGCCCCTGGGCGCTGAAAACCCTAGCTATAACTCTGTAAATGTAGTATTTCATCTCGATGTACTCCGCCTTTGATATGATTTAAATCAAATTCCTCGTCATTATAAATATCCCGAATACCCAAATAGTTTTCTGGTTGCAATTTCTAATTCGATTATGCATAATGTATGCTTACGCTTTGCACTTGAAAGACTGTTTAATAAGTAAACAAAAATATTAAGCTTAATTAACAAATAATATTAAGCTTAAAAATAAATATTAAGCTTTTTGTAAATTTTGATACCCTTAGATCAATTGCTCTTTATTTTATAAATTACGGTTCATATTTTTAATTTTATATTTTGCATTGCCATCTACTAGATTTAAACTGATGATCTATAATCCGGAAAAACCGATAATCCGGAATTGCCAAAGTCCCGACGAGTCCGGATTAAAGACTTTTGACTGTATTAAAAAAAATATTGGGTCATATAAAAAGTCTGCCCTTTTTTGGTACATTTTTGAACAAAAATTTTCTTTACTAAAATTAGTTTTAATCAACTACATATTGATGATTATTATCTATGATCCTTTGCCATTTTTCAGGTAGTTTCAGAATTTCAGCGATGTAGAACTTCTGTGGTTTATCGTCAAAAAACTTGTGCGAGTGATTTTCAGTGGCTCTTCAGTCAGCCAATTTTTTACCATCAAGAGAATTTTGCAGAGACCGAAGAAAATGGTAGCCAGACGGTGCAAGGTTCGGGCTATATGGTGGATGCATGAAAATTCCCCAACCAAGTTCCGTCAATTTGTTCCCAGTCATCAAAGATGTGTGTGACTGTGCATTGTCATGATGGAACATAACTCCCTTTGTTTTGGTCAATTCTGGTCACTCTTTCTGTATTGCTTCGTTCAAACAGTCGAGTTGTGCACAGTACAGTACCCAAAATGATGGTTTCACCAGGTTGCAATTTATATGGCACCCAAAATTGAGCTTCTTTTTGTAACCTGCTCTTTTTAAATGATTCCAAACTGTCATGTGGTTGATGTTTAGTACCTCTGCTATTTCCCTGACAGCTTACATGCCAGTCTTGCTCCGCCAGTTGCAAAATTTCATAGACCTTTTTCAGTGACTGGCCGACCAGAGCAAGGTGCATCTTTGATATCGAAATTTTTAGAATGAAATCGAGCAAACCACTCCTGGATCCTTCGTTCACTCACAGCATTCTCACCATACACTTTACAATTCTTGGCATGTTTTTGCTGCCTTTTTACCATTTTTAAAGTAAAAAAGCACCACATAACGTATTTTTTCAGATAATTCGCTCATTTTCAAATCAGTATAACGTTTTACACAAGCAATGAATTAGAAAACTATTTTTACAAACAATGAAAGCTGAATATCACCTTTTAAGCACATGTTCGTTTGAGACAACCAGGTGAGTGTTGTCGGATATATAGGCATCAACACCATCTAGTGGCAAAAAAGCCCGGAGACATTTATATGACCTAATATATATTTTGCCATTTGCACAACTTACTGGCTATTTGTATTAAATATGCACACATAAAAAAATGCTAGATTAAAAATTGGTTACCATTTTAAATATCAAAATTTAAATTCTAATACTTAAATTCTAAAATTTAATGTGAAATTTGGGTCTTTTTAAGAGAGATCAGTTTCTGGTTTTATTTCACTTAGTTTTAACCATAAATTAGAATCCATTTTTAATTTTGTTCTTTATTTATTTTTCAAATATAACATGGAAGAAAATCCTTGTTCACAAAATGTTTGCAAAAACTCAATAAAAATTTAATAGCTTTCTTTGAGATGCCTTTAATATTTTTTTTTTTTTTTTTGTTCAATCAAAATTTAACAAGTGTGTTATTTTTGAAATCTTCAGTTAGAGTTCGATCACAGAAAATATCTATCAACTGTTCTTTTCCTTTACGAAGTTTTTGAACTTAATAGTTGAAAATACTTTGTTTCTTTGCATACCACATATTTTTCTCTTGCGTACCACCAGTGGTATGCATACCACTGGTTGAGAATTACTGAATTAATTTGAAAGTGGTGTTTATACTAAGTCTGATGTAATTGTAGAGCTAATCTGTGATTGGTTAATTTAAGGTTGTTACATACATAGAAGATTCTCGAATTTGGGAGAACAGATGAATTTAGGGAAAAAGAACCAAATCTAGAATGTTAATTTTGAGGTTGCCAATTATTTTTAAAGCAGCTATCATATTTTGTTGTTTCTGATATATACATATATATATGGCCTTTGGAAATTTTTGCTCATTTACTATCAGAAGATTGTAAATGGGTCTTTCATGAGTATTTTTTACATAATCAACTGTCATTTCATAATGGTCTTGATATTTTTTTTTATTATTATTATCAAATTCAAAATTTATTGTTTTACTAACAACACAGTTGTAGATGATTCCTCGTGAGCGTAAAGCTGATGTTTAAAGCGGTGCAGGCGCATCTGATGGTAAATAAATAAATAAATAAAATAATTGGTCTTGAAATTGAACTGTAGTCTTACCTTTTTTGTTGTTGTTGTATCATGATGGTTAATCATTATTCTTATATTGTGAAATTCAGTGTTTATTGTTCTTTGTGTTAAATAATAGAATCCTTACTTGTGAGAAGAATCTGTTTTTAATATATAAATTTCTGCCCATATAAATTTGTCCGATTTTTTAATAATAATTGCACTTCAGTGTTGTTAACTAGTGCGACTAACTTAATTAGTGCGAGGCAGGAATAGTTTTGCATCTGAAATAAGAAGGAGAAAATCTGGTTCAATTAGTCTTTAAAGGATGAGGGAGGAATTGATAAAAATAACACTTTTCTTTCAAAAATTCTTGAAGAAAATCTGTATATGAATATTTTACTTTATATTTGTCTAGTAATTGGCTGATATATTCTTTAAGTGAGAACTATAGATTATTGCCTTTTTTGCTTTAGTTGTAGGAAAAGATTGATTAAATGCTTCCTATTGCAGGAAAAATAAATAAGGAGATATTGAAACATTTCTGCTAGTGATAATTAGAATTTTGATTAATTATAGAACATCATGTCGAAATTTTGAAGCCATTTCTAATGATAATAAATCTTATATTGAATGAAAATGAAAAAAATTAATTTTTATTTGGTGTCTTTAATACAAATGCTTTGCTAGCATGAGTTTGTTTAAATTCTCATCTTTAGGCTTAAATTGATTTAATTTGTCCCGCTATTAGTGTACTCTAGTGAGCATTCAAAATAATTAACTGACTATAAGTGGAATAATGAGAAAACTGCACTAAACTTCAATTTCATGAAAGGTGCCTTGGAATTCTTGGTCTTCAGGATTCTGGAAATTTACTTCTGGAAGCAGTTATTGACAGTGCTCGGAAACAAGAATATTCATGACTTTAATGTTCAGAGGATTAATCTTAATCATCATAACATCAGTTTTTAATTTGCTAATTCATCGCAAAGTAGTATAGCTATTAAAAAGGTAGATATAGCTGCTCACTACATTCTGCCAGATGATCAAGCCCTTAAATTAGAATATTTTTAGTTTACCAGCGAGTACTGCTGTACTGAAATTTCAAGAAGAGGTATTTAATGAGGATTTGAAGTTAAAAAGAAATGGCTAAGCTATTTATTTAGCTCTGATTCTTTCTAATAATCTTTCCGTATACTGACAATAAGGAAATTTCAATTTAATTAATACATTTACCTGTAAATAAAATTTAGAAAAAAAATCAAGAGCATTGATTTTTCCCTGCTTGTTTAAAGGCCTGGAGATCAGAAAATTAAAGTACTATGAGTAGGAATAAAATATTTGCTAAATTAAAGCAAAGACTGCAAGGTAGCACATTTTTACACACTTTTACGTATAAAATTTGCAAAGAAGGTAAATTTCTGAATCTCCATATTTTCCCACCTATACAAGAACAATAGTTTGGTTTTGAAGCAGTTGCTATTGTGTATGAAATTGTGCAGGCAGATTTCATTCAAGAACCATTTGTTAAATCAGGGTATTCTCCAATAGAACATTCTAAAGCCAAAATTTTGTTGTTGCATGTATGTATGCATTATATATCAGTTTTTATAAGCATTACCATTCCTTCAACTTTTGGGGGGGGTGAAAAACTGAATAACTGAACTTGCTAATAACTGATAACTGAATTTGCTTATGGACAACTGTTCTTCTGAAAAAATTTTTATTTTATTGACTGTTGTTTAAAAATTTCGATGTCATATAGTAAATTATTTTTTAACAAGGAATGGTATTATTTTGTCTGAAGATATGACCTTTTGTTACATTCTGCAAATATTTTCTTCAGTTTATTCAAGTTTTATAGACCATAATACATTAGATAAGTAAATTTGAAAACTTGAAGCAAATAACTTTAATCCTTATTTTTATTAATTTTACAGATTACCCGCTCTTCGATCATTGCAACCATCAATCACTGAAGAATTATTTTTCTCTGGCCTTATTGGAAATGTTCAAATCGACAGTATCATTCCTTATATATTGAGTATGGATTCCAGTGAATACACGCCAGAAATGGGTATGAAAGCATTGCATATTAAAACCAAATAATAAGTAATAAGTTTAATCTTTTAATGTATTTTTTATATTTAAACTATACGTGACAGCAGTGTATAGCTTCAGATGTTTCAAACTTTACAGCTTTGAAATCTGTAGTTTTGATAGATAGACTGAATTGAAGGCTTAATTATTCCACAGCTTCTTTTATGCTTATAAGTTTATTTTCAAATTCAGTTTATATATAGTATAACATGAGGTTAACGTACACTTATGTTTTAAGTTTGTTTTCAGACTTACAGATTTCTTACTGGCATTTAATAGTCATTACTAGCCTCTACTAATACTTAATGCACTTTCTTTCTGAACTTAACTATTTGAAATGGCCTACAAAGCATTAGTGCGAGGCAGGCTTAATGGTAAAACTTGCTAAATGGGTAATAAATGCTATAACTGTGATGTGAGGTTTGCACTTGCATAGCTATTGTATTCTGCCCACCCATATCAAGTGCCATAGCTGGTGCAATTAGGACACTGCACTAAAATTTAGGGAGGTACTGGAAAGCAGAATTTAGGACCTGCAGAGTAGAAGAACCAGGTGGACTAGCAGTTTAGGACCAGGTGACAAAATGCCTTACAACATTCCTGTGCTGAGTTAATGTTAGTATTATTTCTTTGAAACAACACTGCTCTTATACCCGCTTTTGACATATCTCTCTATGTTTTCTTTTTATATTCTTGCTTGGTCAAATGTTTCTGTTGATCAGGTATGTAGAAAATATATGTGTGTGTGCATAAGAGAATGTGTGCATTTGAGTGAAAACAAGGAAGATCAATAGATGTGCATGCACTGACTGCCTATAAAAAGCATAAAATGCAGACAAATTTACATGCAAATAAAAATAACTACTACTAAAGATGTATGTTTCTGTAGAACAGTAATAGCCAACTGATGGTTCATGGACTGTATGTGATTTTTGACAAAGTGACAAGTTAATAAAATTGTTATATTGTTTTGGTACTGTCCTTACATTTTTTAGATAAGTATTGGGTAATTAATTTTTGCAATATTGAATCAAGTATTCATACATGGTATAAAATTGATACATGTTGAATTGTAGGAGATTCACATATAGAATGCATGATTAGCTGTCTTTTTTTCTTATTACGTGATATATGATACATTTCTGTATTATAAGAAATTTCAGTTTTCTAAGCAAATAAATCAGTTCTTTATTTTAGATATACCTTTATTTTGTTGAAGTTAATGTGGAAAAAATCATTACAATACATATTAATATTTTAAATAAAAATGAACCCTTATTTGAATAGCATCATAGGCTTGTTACCATTAAAACTATCTAAATATTATTATATTTTACTCTGTAGGAAACAACCGTCTATGGTTTCAAATGATTTTGGTCTCCTTAAAGGTGGTTCTCTTAGAGAGCAGATGTGCAGTATGAGTGTTTCTTTATACTCTCAGAAATACTTGTCGCTTACAAATGTGGTCATTTTAAGGAAATGGTCACCATGAGAAGAGTTCACTGTAACAAGCATATTGTCTTGCATTGCTTGCTTTGAAAGATTCAAAGATTGCACATGATTGGCAATAAATTGAGGATTCTGGTGCTGCCATTTTAATTGTTCATTCTGTGGCAAAAAAAAGTTTAAATTGAGAAACATAAGTTAAATAAACTGAGAAACATAAGTGTGTATTAAAATATTCACAATAAATGTATTTACAGGATGTACTTCTCAATAATATTGGCTAATTATGTTTAGCCTGCATATATTTTAAATTGTCCCTCTTATGTGTAGAAGTTGGCTAGTATTGTTCTACAGAGTGTAAATATAAATTTAGAATAGTCAAGCAAAGTTTTCTTAGAGCAGTTCTACATCAGTAATGAGTAGATTGCTGCTTTTCGTTAATGTGACATAAATCAATGCATTTAAAGTGCCGGCTTAATGATACTAATAGCTGAAACACATTTGAATTTTGTTATGTTTTCCTCAGCTAGCTGTATAGTTTTTCTTTAGAACCTATGAGAAATGCTCATCAAAAGTATTTCGACTTAGTGGAAGTAAAGATGCCAGCGAAGATAAATTGTGACTGTGATTGGACTATAAATAAATATTAGCAACAATAAAAATTGGCATCTGATAAAACTAAGCAATTTCAAACTGCTAATGATTTCAGGGATTTGGGTATGGCAAAAATCTTTCAATGAATGAATTAAAAGTTGAAAGGAAATTACAAACAAGTCTATTTATTTTTTTACAACATGCAATTTTCTTTTTTCATTATTAGGAAATATAACTGCTTATTCTATGTAATAGTTAAGAAAAGCAAAATTGACAGTAAAATTCACAAAATAAATCAACTCGAGATAATAAAAAGCTTCATTGTATAAGATGTTTAAGATAAAAATATTGTTAATAATAATAAACATTGATCAGCAGAGTGCGTTCATGCCACACCCATTTTTTTTCTTTTTTCTTTTTTTTTTCTTTTTTTTTTTTTTTTTTTTCAGATTATATAAGATTTTCACAGGTTTTGTTTACTTCACAAGCTTGCTTCCATGGCATGTTGTACTGAATAAGCTGTATGGTTGAATTAGAAGATAATCAAATTTTGTTTTGTTTATGCAAAATGCTAATTGATGAAAAAAGATTTAATTTTTTTTTAAACTTATAACAAAAGTATAAGCAGTGCTTGCTGCATTTACTCTGTGTCTCTGTACACAAATTCTACATGTATTTAAATGGGGCACTTTAATCTTACATTTATTGTATGGTTCTGCATCTGATGAAAATATCTTCATTTGTGGATATATGTAGCTACATGGTACAAATTTATTTATTGCATACCGAAGAAACTAAAATGTCATGCAATTAGTTAGGACCGTATATTCTTTATGCAACATTAATGAGTGTATGGAAAGCTATTATATTTTACTTTTTTGCCTACCTTCGAAAACTCGATTTAGTGATCCAGTAGTAATTGATTACATACAGCCTTGTACCTTTAAATCAACTTATTAAAAATTCAACTGTTGTATGAACCCTGAAATTGTATTAGGGTAAGCTTAATATGCTTCTTTCAATAAATACCCTAGTTTGTTCTAAAATATATCCTTTTTATGTTGTTATTTCTGAAGTTCTAGAAATCATTGTGCATTTGCTTCGTGTGATGTATCGCTAATAAATGAGCATATTTGTTTCAATATTTTTTTAATTATGTCTTATTTTGTATATTATTCTTATGAGTTTTCTGTGTATGGTGTGATATGCATGTTTATTCTTTTTATATATTATTTTAGGTTCTCCATTAGGAGGACATGTGCCAGGGAGTAATCTTCCACAGTGGTAAGTTTGCATTTATTTTATTTATTTGTTATATTTATGTACTTTAAAATTAAATAAGAGAAATATGAAAATGAAATTAAAAATAATGGAAACAATGAATGGGATAATTTAGCTTTCTGTCTGAGCCGCGTGCTGAATTTGATTGACATCTTCCAAAGTTCTTGTGCCTTTTCCCTCCTACAATCCTTTACTAGAGAGGACTTTTAAATTAACAGGTTTTAAATCCTCTCATTCTGGAGTGATATTATTATAGTCACAAACTTTCATTGCTGGTACAGGACTTGAATCTAAACAAGAAGACAGCAACGTATAGTCAACCTCTAATAACCATCATACTATATAGACCAGTTAGTAACAGCTATGTAAAGAGGCTTAATAATACATAGCTTAATTATTTATGTTACTAGGCATCAAAAATATTTTCTAGCTTTCGGGATTGATTAATGCATTTTAAAAGCAGGAGGAATATCATTGAAACTCCACATCTCTGTTCCACAAACCCAGTAGTTTTCAGTTATTTTTGCCCCTCTTATTCTTTCTCACCATGCCAGAATGTCATCTCGTCGAAGATTTTCTTTAATCATTGTTTTCCAAATAATGTTTTCTAAATATTGAAAATATTTTATTGCAGTATACTGTAAAAGTACATATAAATTTGCAGTTTATTTGATCTTACAAGTATGTATAGCAACGAACCCTCTTATGCCAATTGCCTCAGAAAATGTCCAGTATTTCTAAGGTCATAAGCATCTACGTTTATGATTGTAATATCAAATATCTAAAATAATCATTTCCTAAATGCACCAAGGTAATAAAATATTGTATTAAGATGACCAGTGTAATTTACTGTATAGTATGTACTAAGGTGATGCCTAGTTTTGGTATCCAAGTAAAATATTTTAAACACCAAACAAATCAAAGATTTAATCTTCAGTTCTTAATCTTAAAAAACAAAAACAAGAACAAAAAAAAAAAAAAAAAAAATGGGAAACAACAGTTATCGTTAATATTATCTTATCATTTTATATTAGGAATAATAGTTTCCACAGAAATAAAATTATTGGTGTGCTTGATACATTACTTGTTGCCATATACATTTACATTAATAATGTTTCATTGCATAGAGCTATTCTTCCACTGAGTATGAATTTACTAAATTTATTTTTCTAAAATGTAAAATGTCCTTTGAATTTATGTTAATTAATTTTCTCTTTAAATCACATAGCTCTTTCTACTGTAATATCCAGTTTTGTTTTTATGTTATCTGTAAGCTGAACAGCAGATTCAAGGCTGTTCAGGAACTAATAATATATTTTTTAATTGAATGTAAATAAGAAACTGTTGCGAATTATTTTAGCTATAGATCAGAAGCATGTTATTGCAAAAAAGCATATTTAATGAAGTTTAAGTTCAGAATAGAGTTGAATATACATTTGAATATGTCATATATGCTAAGTGAAAGCGTCCAGAGAGGTTGCTGGGTAAGAGGGGTATGAGACCATCGGATTACATTATTAAAGGTTTTTTGGTCAAATCTAGAATGAGGCTTTTGAGCTTTATCTAGAATTAAATAATATTATTCCTTACATGCTGGGGAAAATTATTTTTTTCATAATCTAAATTAAAATTTAATTAAAAGATTTTAAAATTTTGTTTTCTAAACCTGGTCATAATTTTGCTTGTGTGGTTTAATTCTTATAATTTTTCCTTTTTTTCTCCCCAGATCAACAAAAGTGACCTTCCCACAGTTTTGACATCATGTGTATTAAATTCCTCTTTCTTCATATAATTGTCTTTGTACAAAAGTGATTTTAGACTTTCTTAGTTCACATGATGCTGCTTCATTGTAGAGTGCAAGAAGACATTTTTGTTTTTATGTCCAGTTTTTTTAAGAAATGATATTTTAGTAAGTCATTGTATGTTTACATTGTGCAGTAGGGATGGGATGGGTAACCTAAGCTATGTTGCTATCAGCGATATGTTACTGATTTGTAGTTTTTGTATATTTTTTGTTTAAGTTTGCTCTTTCATACGAATTCCGGTGCAACACGTTTTTTGTATTAAAATATATTTTTATTTGTTCTGTTGCTTATAGAACCCATTCTTGTAAGATGTTTATTAGAGTTATATGTTTACACTGAAATGACTGAAGAAGTCATTTTTCAGCTCATGTATGTACTTGAATTCATTTGTCATTTGCATATCTGTTTCATGGGGCTGGAATCAATAGTTATATAAAAATGTTATATTTTACTTTTAGATGTGTCTTTCAGTTTCGGAAATTTCAACTGTATTGCATTTTATTCAGTCTGAAGTTGTTTAAGGACTAAGTAATGTGGTATATCGTATCAGGCTAATTTATAGTATTTTATTTTCCTAATACCAGTTTAATTATGTCTTTGTTTCTATAACATACATGTAATAGAAATCAAATGCAGTTTTTATAGTGTAAAAGCAAAATCTAATTTTTGATGCCAGCCACATAATCACTGTTATATATGGTATATATTTTCTATATATTAAGCTTGCTTGCTATAAATTTTAAGTGGTGTGCAAATTATTCTTTTGTAACAGAAAAAAATCAAGTTGATATATTTAAATTATATGAACTAGTGGTTATTCTCTTTATGATTTTAAGGTAATTTTCACTATTAGCACAGTTAGTGCCATTGAGGAAAAAACATTGATAAGAGATCAGTTTAGTACAAAGAATAAAATATTTTTTTAATGAAAAGCTTAAGTAGGAATTTTCTCTGTTTTATACACTTGTTGATTAAAAATATTTCAAAACCTTTCAGTAGCAGTGTATGTAGACATTTATTCTAGTCTCTATTTAAATAAGCAAAACTGCTGAGTAAGTGTTAATAAGTAACATGTAATTTTATGCATGACCATGCCCATTTTGTATATCTGTTAAGAAGGAATTATAATAGATAAAAAGTGGTGTTTTAAAATTTGCAACTCATTTATATCTAAATGCTCACTATCTTTTTTTTTTTTTTTTTTAAATTAAGGTTATGCTATTTTGCAAATAACTTCTTTTTTCCATCTGTTTAAATTTATTTTATTTAGGTGTTTTAATAAGTTTAGATTTTGTTAAGTATGACCTGAAAGGTACTGGTGCTGCAGTATTGATTTTAGAAGTTTTAGATCTGTGATATTCTAATCTGCTGTGACGTTGTACTGTGGTATTTCTATGATGTATTCTGCATGAATGTGTGATTTATCAATGTGTCATTATGAATATAAATCTTGTTATTGATCTTGGTACAAGTTCATATTTTGTGTGTATTTAAATATAAATGCACTTACAGCTTTTTCAATAAGGGAAAAATTTCCGATACTGCATAATCTTCATCTAATAGGATTCAAAATGCTTTGTAACATTTTTAAAAGGGTGTCTTAATGTGTTTTTGAAAGCTGCTATTCTCATGTATTCTAGTCCACAGTATAAATAATTGAATTTTTGAAGAACAAGTTTTATGATATGTTTTATGTCTATGTAAAGAAAATTCAAGCTTCATAACAGTGCATTTTTTGTGTGTTTATTCACAATATTTTTATAGTAAGTTTTTCACTTTTTATTTTTCATTCAGATAGTGGAATTGTAAATTTACATTGTGTCTTTGTGTAGAAAATGTAGTTTTTTTTTCATCAAAATTAAGAAAGGAATTTTGGTATTGTTGAGAGATTTATTTAGTAATTTTCCTTTTAAAAATAATTATTTAGTTGAATAAACTTTGTAGTTTAATGTTTAACAAGAAAAAGCAAGCATTTAAAAATTCTAATTATTTAAGGGAAGCAGCTAACAATTTATAGCAGATTCTTTCATTCTCTAATTATAAATATTTTTATCCCCCCCTTTTCTGATTTTTAATTATTCATTAGACTTTTAACAATCAACTTAACTTGCTTTAAATATTGATTGTAAAAACAATATATTTTGAGATTATAGAGAAAATAAATTATTAAATGCAAATCTGAAAATCATGCTTCTATTCAAAATACCATAGTATAAAGGTAATTCTTTGCCATAAAGAAGTGTCCTTAAGCATGACGTGTATCTTTTCCATTAATTATTAAATGCTTTAAACTATATACATCTACATTAGAAGTGGTTCTTCTGAATCATGTTTTACTATGGTTGTGAAATATGTCTTTTTAAAATCAGTATGTTAAGGACATGTACGTATGCCTATGTAAAGTTTCAGTAAAATGGCACTTCATTCAAGACTAATTTTAAAAACTCATGGTAACATTATTATAAATTAATTTTCTCTTGGAGAATTTGAAAACAGAAAATGAATCTATTATTATGTAAAAGTGAATGTGCAAATTTTCATTATGCCATATTTCTAACTAAAAATGGATAAAAATTGGCATTTGTTACTGAGTTAAATTTTCATAAATCTCTAAATGTTAGTTGCAAATCTTGAGTTTGGGCTTTCATAAAAATATAAGCATGTATAATTTTATCTAAAAGAATGCTTATGTAATTCTTAAATTTGTACAAAAATTAAAATATTACTTAAAAATCTGAATATATATATAATATTTAATAATTGCTAATTTTGCATTATGTTAATTGTTGTTAATTACATCTTTTCATCATCATTTTATCTGTTACTGTAATATCTCAAATGAATACTGAATGAATGAATACTCAAATGTATCTGAAAATGATACCAAATTGTATTCCAATGTTAAACCTGTATTAGTCATTGTTCTAAAATTATTAAATGAAAAATGTAACATCACTTCCATAATTATTCTTATATTCATCTTTCATTCATGTCTTTTAATGAATTCTCTCATGTTATATATATATATAACCAAAACAGTGCTTCCCAATACTGAAATTTTAAGTCAGCATGTTAAATTTATTTTTAAAAAATGATGCATATCTTCCTTTACCACAACCTGTTTATTTTTATGCTTATTTATTTCCTTTTTTGACCTCAAAAGAATTCTTCCACATTTGATAGTGGTGTATTATTTTTGCACAGAATCATATCTGTGTTTTCTTGTGATGTTCAATTAAAAAATTTAGATTTTATATTAATTTTTATTTCACCTGCATTTCAGAGCTTTCCAGTTTGTTATACCTTTTAGCTCTTTCATTAATAAAAGCATATTTAAAGCATTTGCACGTGTATCTAACTTTCATATTCAATTTTATATAAATCAAGATTGAGTACATTTACATTTTACTGTACAGGATTGCATGTGAAATTGGCTGACCCTTCATCAGTATAAATGGCACCCATTTTTCCATAAAATTGTTCCATTAGAGAAGTTTGATTGAATATCAACCTTGAATTGTGTTTGTCTAACCGTTCATTTGACTAAGTAAAAGTATTATGTTAAACTGAAGTGTTTAATATATTTTTTGTCTGTGGTGTATGGTTAATTTTCACACATTTATGTAAATTTATTGCTCTAAATAACTTCCATGATGATAATTTTCATATTAAAATTTTTTTAGCTATGTTTAACAATTTTAAGGGTCATACACATTGTATTTTGTTTGTCAGTACAGAATCATAATATCTGAAAATTAAAAGAAAATTGAAATTGGAAACTCTAATTGAAGTTAAAGGGAATGAAAAACATTCAGAATGAGAAACTGACATATGTTTACTTAAATAATTTGTGTACTTCATCATTGAACAAATTGGTTTTATTTATATATATATATATGTATACGAAATTGCATTTGAGTTTTGTTGAAATGATCTCATAGCTTGATGTTGAAGTATTTTTGGTGTAATGATTTTTTTATTTTTTACTTCAGTTAATTATTACATATTGCTAATTTAAAGTGCATTGCTATTATGTTCTGTCAGTTTACAGCCTTTAATGCATTGATGTAAAATGTGCCATGTACACAAATGAGCCTAGCATTTCTTCTGTTTATATGGATGTATGTTTGGGTACCTAACTCATCCCTTTTATGTAGATTGCATCAAAGCACAAACTTCAGTATTTAGAAGTATCTCAGGTTTTATATAAACTTTCAGGAAGCAAATGCTTTTTAAATTTTCTTTGTTAAATATAACAGTTTCAAGCCTTGTCCATTTTTCATTATCATTTTATGGTAAGTCTGTCTGGGAGACTGCCTTGTAACTTTTTCATCTGATCCCGGTTGCTGTGTAGCTCAGCAAGAATGGTTGTATACTAGATAATTTATATGGTTCATAGACTTGGAATCCAAGGATTAAATATATTTGAGTGATTTTTGTTTCTTTTCTCTTATTTCATTTCAGATTTTCCTTCAACACATATCATAACGTTGGTTTAAAATTGTGTTTTATCACTATTAATTTCATATACCATATTTACTCACTTATTTCCCTCCTTAGCTTTTTGCAGTAATTTTATCATACGAAAATTGAAATTTTGAAAGATGTAGTTACAGTATGAACAAAACAAATAAAAATATTCATAAGTAAATTACCATTAACTATGACAATATTATTTATTTAAAAGAAACATTCAAAAAATATATTACTAAAATTAACCTTGCACTATCTATATATAGTGTAACGTTATAGTTAACTATATATATATAGTGAAACGTTAACTATCTATATATAGTGTAACGTTATAGTTAACTATATATATATAGTGAAACGTTAACTATCTATATATATAGTGTAAGAAGATATATTCATGTTCTTCCCTGAATCTTGCTGCTTTTATTGTTGTTCACTGCTAATCCCTAGACTGCTGCAACTTGCAAATCATTGTCATAATCTCTATTCCTGTACAGTTTGTCTTTCTGCAGTGATCTGCAGAACCATCAAGAAAATTAGATATCTCCATTTTATTGAAGCTGTTCACTATTGCTTCATCAATCAGAGACCATCCACTCTCATTCCATGAGCAAACCAATTAGTAAGATGAAAACAGTCACTATGTGGATGAATCCATTTTGATATTTAGAGAAGCCCATGCTTTCTGAATGTCTTGAGGAAGGGGAAAACTACTTTGTGCTAATAAAAACTAGGGAGAAAATATTCAAGTAAAGTTGGTATTCATGTTTTTCAGTCTTTATCAAAATAAGTATTTAAGATACACAGCTGGAATTAAATAAAATGCACTTTTCAGAGTTTCAATTGTAGAAAGCATTGAATGAATATTAGGAGTCTGGGGAGACCTGTTATAAAGAAGGACAATGCCTAAAGTTTTAGAAATTAAGAAAGGGATACAGAAGCTTTTAAATAGATAAAAAGCTGTTAACAATTTAAATATTGCAAAATTTATTAAAGTGATAAATTTATAAATAAATTTTTAAATTAAGACATAGCAAAGTTAAGGCATATTATAAAACACATACGTTTTTCAGAAATTCAATTATGAAAACTCATTTCATGAATCGTACATAAATTGATTTTATACTACCTAAGTAATTATGAATACCATATCGATATACATTAAATTTTATAGAAATAAATTGATATCTGGCAATTTTACTCCCTTAGCCTACTTAATTATTCAAATCTTTTCAACATTTTGTAAGTAGGTAAGGGGATACCGAAAATGTATACCTCTCTGTACCTGTAACACATTTCAGCATAACCGCCAATATTCATTCCTTTTTTTCAGATGATACAAGTGATTCAAATTTCAGTAAAAATTTATATTTCAAAGAGTTTATAACATGATATTTAGCTAGCATGGAAATGGCAAAATGATCAAGGCAGTAAATTCTGTAGTTAATTTGTTCATTAGATTCTTGTTGTAATTTGGAATTACATGACTCTGCTTTTGAATTTTGTTACAGTTCATTATTTCTAACCTGAAAAAAAAGTATTGCATTTGGATGGAAATATGTATCCATGTTACCCCCATACTGCTTTATCTTATTTTCAGCTTTTACTAAGAATGAAATTATAAGCCATTACTTTCAGCCTGAATGATCACTTAGATCTCCAGACATCAAACTGTGACTTTTAATGAGGCTAAATTACTGGTATTCAGAGATCACTCATTGTCAGTGTTAAAAGAGGCTGTGTGATGGCATGTATCTAGGAACCACTAACAGAACTGCTTTGCATGGTGTCCATAAAATCTATTACCTGGTCTTTAGGTAATGCTTCATAAAGATGGCTACATTATTCAGCATTTGTTAGAGGCAATTTTGTGGTCTCCAGATGAAGTGCTGTGAAAGTAAGTGAAGCTAAAAACTTGCACAATAAAATTTATTAAAATTATGCAATTATATATCACTAAACTGTAAATTGTAAAAGTATTTACTGAAATCTGAGACATTTTTTATATTTATTATTCCAAACATGACCATGCTATTCTTGTCCATTCAAGCATTAGGATTCAGCATGTCCATCCAATTGTTTTGATGTGTGTAATAGCCAGATGTACTGTATTTTTAACTATTCCAGCTTGGATTAAGCATCAAACTTCTTGGTTATAAAAATATTTCGTTTATCTGATTAGAAATTGCACAAATCTTACAGTTGTAGTTACTTTTGTATCTCTCCAGCTTCTGTTTAATGACTAGAACCACTGCAGTTTCATATTTTTAAAATCTATTGTACAAATTGAAAAAAATAAAATATAAAATTCAGAATTATACTTTCATCTTTTAATGAAAAATTCAGAACTAATTCTTTTCAGAACATTCCAAATGAGAGTACCCCGTTTGTAAAATGTTTAATATCAATGAAATTAATGATATATATAAATATATATACAGTATTCCCTTAAAATTTCTTACATGGCCTTTATTTTCATAGCCGTTTGTCGTAGTCAACTTCCAGATACAAAAATGTTTTAAATAAAGCATATAATCTTATTTTGACAATTTTAATTCTGAAAAATCGGTTTTGTAAAAATTACGAAATCTAACTTTCTATACGTCCCCTTCCCCCATTGCTCTTAAGTTATATGAATAAAAGTTTATACTCATTCTTAAAAAAATAAAGCAAGTTTGACTGACATGTGGCAAAAAATTGACCAAGGTAATTAAAGTTTGTTTTATTAAAATTTTGAGATCGTACAAACATTAAAGAGTGAAATATTAAAATTTGTATGTAACTGAACTTGAATTATCAGTTTAGGAAAAAAGTTTGTGATGAAATGGGCACTATTTCTAATCCAGTTTAGTTTTTGTTTCTTTATTAGTATTTTGTGTAGCTGATAATAACTATTGCGACTCGACTCGGCATTGAAGGAAAAAGTCCTTGCATGTGTGATTGGTCCATGTTGCTACTACACGTTGCCAAAGTTCATGTCGCATAGCCGTAGGTGATATGTACTGGACCACTCGTTTGTTAGTCATTGACCAGATGTATAAAGTTGACAACGTATGGAAAAAAATGGCTGAGCCAGAGTAACTGCGGAGACTTGCTGAACGTTGTGTGCCATGTGAGGTAGTGCATTATTCTGTTGAAGACCCTACCAAGCCTTGAAGATAAATCTGAATAACAGGCTGCAGAGCATCAGGATGTACTATTAAATGTCTCAGCAGCGCGTATTAGGCACGTACAAGAGTAAAATTCAGTGGCACTCGAAATCATCAATTGATGTAATTAATTACAGCAAATCATATCTCAAGATGATGGACAGGTGTGAAATGTAGAGGTTATGTTGCCTCTCAACCTGAGTAACAGCAGCCTCGGATACGACCACCTTAGTATTGTATGCAGAATCGAGGTTTGCCTGAAAAGCAACGTTGTGCTACTCGTTTGCAATGTCCGTGCCGCCGTGACCGGTATAGTGATTAGCGACACTGGCTACCATATCGTTGGGCTCAGGTTCGAATACTGGAAAATGCCTGGATGTTTATAAGTGTATAGTGTCTCAGTGTCATGAGTGTACTTAAAATAATGGTGAATCGAAAGTTCTGTTGAGAGGTTTGGCGGTAGAGGAAGAGAGGATAAGCCCTTAACCCTTTCCGGCATGCTACCTTTTAAAATCGGAGTTTTGATAAAAAAAAAAAAAAATTAAAAAAAAAAAAAAAAAAAAAGGTAAGCAGTCTAATTAGGCCTAGAGGAGTACACAAGTAAAATTGTGTGAAGATAGCACTTATCGTTTTAATTCTGTGGGTGTGCCCAAAGTGGCACACTGATTGAATAGAGCTTCGAAAAGAGTGCTGAATGAGCAATGTTGTCAATGAACTGACCGATGAGATGCGGAGAAACAAAGAATACAGACTCTCAGTTATTCTAGATTATCGGTGAGCCCTATCTCGGCACACCTAGGGTTCGCCGTGTGATTTTAGGCAAGATTTCAAGGTAAAAATTTAAAACTAATATAGAATAAGGAGATTAGCAAACAGCCAAAAAAATAACATAGAAATTTCTTTTCAAACAATTCCTTTTATACACTAAAAAAGTCTGGAAGATTTCTTTGAAAAATGAGGGTCTTAAAAAACTAAACATGGCTAAAATATATGGACTGGTTTGTGTTGAGCTGCCATCTACTATAAATAAAGAAAGTTCAGAGTAACCTATAAATCCTTTTTCATTCAATTTTTCTGTGCGTACAGAAGGAAATTTTTAGGTGTGTCCAGACCGGACACATTGTGGCGCAAACGGTTAAATCTGTTTTCCATTAAAACTGGAATGGAGCTGTACAGCTAACTATGCCTGTAAAACCACTGATGAAGTTCTGGTGTCCCTCTTACTTCTTCCTAAGCTGTCATGTCCGCATACGTCTCTATTGTAAAGTCAACGGTAATTACAGCAATGGACTTACAAAGATTCTTATCCTCTGCAGACAACGTCGAATAATACATGATGACATAGGCTGTTATGCAATAGACCATAGTTCTCGCGTTAAGATTCATGATGCTGCTCCGCCACTGCTATAAGCACAACATGCCTGTCTTTTCGTTCGGTATTGTAACAAGGCTGATAAAGCACTACCGTCGGTTTGGCTGTACCTAACGATTTCACAGTGATGCGTTTACGCATCACTTGCTTTTGTCCAACTTAATCACCGATACCTCGGAAGGATAATTTGCAGTTGCAAGTCGCAATTCTTCCCCTATCAAACTCGGAAACTTTCTGGGATGCCTGCCGTTTTTTTCGATGAGACTTACTGAAACTTCTTACGCAGGGACATTTCCAGTGTTTAAATGAGCCTACTGTTGTCCCGTTTATTGTGATAGCCCCGTTATGCTCTTCTAGGTGACCCTAATGGTGCCTATGATTTGCATATTCACTGCAGTGCTAATTATTTACATATCCCATCGATGTCCTCATAGTTCGA